CGAGATAACGAGATGTTTATTCGACCCCGAAAGAAATTCCCTGAGAATCTTCGGATTTTTCAAGGAAATCTAGTTAAAAATTTCAGGTAAAATGAAAGTACTTTTAAATGTATCTTACAAATAAATGTATATTATGTAAAGTCTTATTATGTAAAGTCCTCAACATTGTCCATTCATAAAAATTTATGAATCGTAAAGGAAAATTAAAAATCATTCGAATTTCAAGTAAATTTGTAAAAATTTTTTTTTAAATTAATTAAAAAATAAATATTTTATATCGCATAAAAGTTTCAAACTTTATTTTCAAAAGCTACAAACAAAAAAATTATATGATGCGTAACCAGTATAAAATTTAACTTTTATAAAAAAAAACTATTAAAATAAATATTGTTTTCAGAATTACACGAAATCGTTATCTTCAATACTGAATATTGGATTAATCATAAAATCAGTATGTTCTGACTGTTTAGAGTGGATGGATTCATTGTTCTCGTTAACAATTCTCGATAAATTCTCGATTACAAAATAAAGACATTGGCAAAAACAACTTCAAAAAAGTTTTCTAATTTTAACACAAACGAATACCCTGAAAATTCCAGGTTTTTCAAGTTTTTCCAAGTAATAGACATTGCGCGGACGTATTTTTTCTTCTACGAGGACAAAACACGAATGACTCGGAGAGAGTTGTTTTAACGTATCTCGTTTTAATCGATATCCCCATTGCACGTGGACGATATCAAAGCACGATGCTGCGAACAAATGGACGAGAATGAGATGCTTAAATGCTGCGACATGTAACGGACAGGAAACGGCCGTCGTGCTTTCGACGGCCTCTTAAAGTGGCGAACAACGCGGCGATCAGCCTCGTCAAAAAAGATCACCGGATTATCAGCGGTGTGCCAGTTCGCCTCGTCGGTCGAACTCGTTTTCCCGCCGGTCTAATCGCCGCGAATTCATACGTCGGCGGATGTGGTGAAAGAACGGGAATCGCGTACTTTTACAAACGTCGAACGTGACGACGCGTGCCCGCGATAAATATAGTAATGGCCGGCCGTTCCAAGAACGTGGCGGCGGTGATACGTCAATATGAATGCAACCTCGGGCGAGAAGTATTATGTAACGCGCAATTTTTCGAGTCGGCCGTTTTGTGCTTTCTTTTTTTTCCCCTCCCCCGCGTCCGCCCGCCGTTGCGTCTCGATGGAAACGATGGAAACGGGGGGGATGGTTCGGGACGGCCCGGGTGGTTTCACAAGCGCTGAAAGTGACGATGTAAAAGCTGATGGTTGTAAAAGCTATGGCGGCGGAGGGTGGAAGATAAAGAGAGGCGGACGGACGAGCGGACAGAGCGGGATGGTCGTTATACAGGGAGAGGAGTGGGGTGAGAGCCGGGTGAGAGCACAGGGTGAGAGCGGAGTAAGAGCGGGATGGATGAACGGAAAAGGGACGCAAAGGGAAACGGGGAGGACACGCACGTACACATATATATGGGAGCAAAGGGTACCCTCCCGAAACGGAAGGGAAGGAGGGAGGGAGGGAGGGAGAGAGGGAGGGAGAGGAGGGAGGGAGGGAGGGAGGGAGGGAGGGAGGGAGGGAGGGAGGGAGGAAGG